ATTCAATTCAATTGTATGATTACACATCTGCATTTTCATGTGCCCTGCGTTGTTTTGTTATAAGTGAAAATCAATAAAGAAAGCTGAAATAAAAAAATAAATAAAAAATAAATAAAAAACTAACCAAGGTAACACCCGTCCACCATATCACCTGCATCTTCTCCTAGACCACCATTGTGTTTTTTCAAACCAATCATCTCGCAGAGGAGCATAGCCAGCAGCAACTCATTAGCATTTAAAGCTACAGCCGCAGAATCATCACTTTTGGAACAGGGCTGAAACAGAGGGGTTTATGGGATACTACAATAGACAATATGTTTGGTATTTTGAGCCAAACACTTCAGAAACATGTTTTGTATATATCTGAGACCTATAATATATTGTTGAAAAATACACTTAGTTCAATCAAAGTTGGAAAATAAAATAATGCATTTTTAAAGCTGTAATATTTTTGTTTGGCCACTTGGGGTCAGCATAATAAACCATAAACGAGATTAATAATCACTTGTTAGATATTCACTTTGTTGATGTAAAACAAAAAAAGACAGGAAATAAAAAATATTGTGACGCTGAAAACATGTTAGGACATATTTGTGGAATGCACTTGAAATGCTTCCTGTGTTTATTTGGACAGCAGAAGGAGGCTCACTCAGCCTGCCTCCATTTTACAACCTCGGTTTCTTTAATTTTTACAAACTTTAGTTTAACTTTCATTTAAACTGGACCACAGTAGCTCTTTTGGTGAGCAGATGTATAAGCACAATGAAAACCTGAGCTCATATAATTGTGGTTCTAGAGAATGTTGCCACATGCCAAACCAGTTTCCTATTCATTGTTTTTACTTATGGAACTTATCTGCCCCGGACATGAGTGCCAAATCATCCTGTGTTAAAAGAGACCATGGAAAGTCCCTTAACTCCCGCGGCTACATCTGCAGATATCGCCTTAAATTCTCACGTCATTGGCAGGCACTGCTGTGTTGACCACACCCACAATGTAAAACACAAGTCAAATACAACTTTAAAAAAGTGTAAGAGGTGAAACGAAAGTGAAATTTAAATACACTTTTATGAAGTTTCCTCCCAAAGCTTGAAGGTGTTTATAAAAGGCAGAGTGAGCTCACAGCCTTCACTCTTGGTGGAACGAAGGGAAGGTACGTGAACACACTCTTTGTTTTTTGGTACATTTATATTCAAATACATTAAAGTTGATCAATACAAGAAGATTAAGTGAGAAGCAGTAGATTATTTCTCAGAAGTGAAGTTTATTTTAAGCCTGTCATATGCTACAATTCCTTGCTAATTTTAGAACAAATTGCCTGACGATATTACTCATGCAAACTCAGTTTATACTTCTGTAACCATTAAGTGAATCATTCTACGCACATTTAGGATCTATAAAATCTATTATTAATTGCATTTTTGTTTATACTTTTTTTTAATGGGTGTTGCATATGAGTTGTAGGCCTATTGTATGTAAAGCAATTTGTTAACATTAAGCTGTCTGTGGCTCTTTTTCTGCTGTAACTACATACATTTCCCCTCTGTGGGACTAATAAAGGTATTCTGATAGTGAATATGTTTCATAGATTTCTATACGATCAGACTTTGTACTTTTTGTAAGAGAGGTGTTGCCCCATGGGTGATATTAGAAAGAATGCAATCACTTTTTCAGACTCTTCCAGGGCTTCAAATGTGTTGTTTAATGATTTCTTAACGTCTTGCTTAGTTTCTGTTTTAAATCATTTTGCAATGATGTTTACTTTTGCCATAATTATGGAATCCTTCTGAGGTCGCTAATATTCCTCTTTCCTGCAGTGATACTGACACCAACATGGACTGGGCTGAAGATGATTTTGATGTGCCGCCTGGGGTTGGCCGACTTGGGCTCTCTGCACCAGGTGATAATAGAAAGTATGTCATGTACCATGGCACTACCAGGGCCATTGCTCCATCAATCCTGGCCACAGGTTTTCGCCAGTCCGCAGACGGGATGCTCGGCTGCGGCGTCTACCTCAGCAGAGACCTGCTGAAAGCTAGCCGTTATCCCATTGATCACCCAGAGCAGGACAGGGCTGTCATTAAGTGTTTGGTCAACGTAGGGAAAGTGATCAAGATCGATCACCAAGACCATCCAAGGCAGAAGACCTGGCACGACTACGGCTTCGACACCGCCTGGGTGCCCCCCAACTGTGGGATGGTGAAGAGCGGTTTGGAGGAGGATTGTGTCTGGGATCCTTCTCGAATTAAAATCAGTAAAATCATCAAGCCCAAACCATTCCAAACCTATGGTGCACATGGCTACATGTGAGCCCTATGAGCTGTAACCCATTACATATTTTGATACAAACTAAATTACTTTTGAATTTTGTAACTGTGTCATTGTTACATGGCAAAATAAATGGTTCATATTAAATCTGAGTTTGTGTCTCGTTATGTGAGTTTATTTTTATTCTTAGATAAATGTGGTCAAATAGTTCCACACAAACATTTACAGGTAAGTCGCGCAAATCAAGAAAGATATTTGATATTCTCATATGAGATGTTAGCTTGCATACATTGGGTTTGTATTTAATATCTTACTAGAAATACACTTTTTACTAAGGACTAAATACTGTGTCTTGTCTTGAAAATAGCAGACGGCTATTGTAAAAGAGAAGATGTATTAAGATGAATCATTATTATTATGTATCATTTATCTTCCAGATATTGATACCAACTAGGGTTACAAAAGTAAATAATAGATTCCCACTTCATATTTGAAGAGCTTAATAAGATGGTGAGCAAAGTTGCAAAAGTAAACGTGCACACATTGTGCAGCTTTAGATACTGGCCTCCATATGATTCTGCTTTTCCAAAGATGTATGAAATAGCATGAAAATGTTATTATCTAAGCAAAGTACCACAAATGTGTACACAAATACAATACGTGTGTAAATGTACTTGTATTTGATACATGGTCAAAAATCCCTTGGTACTCTAGAAAAAGAACAGATATGTTCATTAGATTTTAAAACGTTGTAGGTCGATATTTACAGGGACTGTTGTAAAAAACAATCAGCTCATACACGTTCACAGAGTTTCCTTTCCCTTCCAAAAGCTGTCCTTTCTCCAAGTCCTACCATGCCTCTGATTGGCTGAGATTGTTGGCTGAGTCCAGGAATGTCTGATTGTAAGCAAAGGCATGCAAAAATAAGTAAAACGAAAGTGAACGATGAACACACATGTAGCAATTTTCTTCTGAAACTGAGGCTATTTATGTACGCAGAGTGAACTCACAGCCTGCACCATTGGAAGGGCATACAGAAACAAATGTGAACACTAAATAAAAGCATTTTTACAATAACTATCAATACTGCAGGGGAAGAAAGCTAAATTCAGTATCTGATGCAAACTGTACCTTCAAACTGTGTTGGGGATTAGTTTCACGAACATTAACACACATTCCCCAAAGTTTAACTGTATACATGTGAGGAATAAGCATCTGGAACAATGTCAAAGAGGGCAAAGACTGGAAAAGGGGAAGAAATCATGTCTATTTTTAGATGCTCATTCAATTAAATTGCTGGCACTTCGCTGCAATATCCATGAAATCATACTAATCTGGTGGAAAGGGTGTTAAAGGGAGAGCAGAGGTAGAGCATGCTGAATCTGTGTACAATATGTCAAGGTTCTGCTTCTTTATACTTAATCTAATACAATACATCTCAGAGGTAAATACTTACAGCTTTTTTTACTTTTTAGATAATAGTTTTCCATCCCCTTCTTGTCCAGTGAAAACGATTTAACTCGAGATGATTTTGAACGTTATTGATGAAATTAAGGTAGAAATGTTTATTTTCTCTGGTGAGGTAATCCACCTCCAGCACCACAAAGCTGACAGCAGGGCTGTTTTTCTGAGAAACTCATGAATGGTTTACTTTTTAGAGGTAAGTGGTTCTCACAGGTCAGGACCAAGCGCCGAACATATAATTATCTTATAATATGAATGCATTGCGGCAGAATAAACTAACCAACAGTAAGAAATCAAAAAACCTCAACAGCAGTAATGCAACATATTCAATTCTGTTGATGCCGCAAAGGTAGGCTACTCTTTGCAGGGCTATAGCCGCTTTCACACCAAGTACTGTGCCGGCACTTAGTGCCCCCATGGAACTACAGATCGCGTTCACACAGGAATAAATTCCCTGAGGGAAGATTACGCAAATGAGCCGCTGACGTCACTTCGTCTTCTTCTGCTTTGGGTTTACTGGCAGGCCGCAAACCACTTCAAGGCGTATACCATAGATATATATAAACCATGATATAAACACTAGGTGGCTCATGGGAGATTTTCCAGCGTAGCTGACCGGCCGCCATCTTGCTACAGTCAACAGCTCAGCTACTCTGGTACGCGCTATGGTAGCTGTTGTAAGGTGAGTGATCTGCACATAAATACTCTTAAATTGCTGAAATCTTGACTGATTTACAAACGGTTTGGTTTATTATAAACATTATTAGCATGGCTATGATACAGGATGCTTGAACATGTTGAAATTGCAGCTTTTCTTTGTGTATGTGCCGTGGTTGTATTTATTAGCTGGCTAATAACAAGAGGCTGTGAGTGAGACCTAGTATTACAAAGTTGACCCAGCAACTTTACACCAGTGGGAGAGGCATAACTCTTTCTTTTCAACATAACTTAAGTTACACATGATTTCTTCCAAGTGGTTTGGCTTGTTAAAAACATCTTACATTTTAGATACATTATGATACAGGAAATTGCTGGCTTTGTGTTTACAGAAGTACCTGACTATGCCTGACTTTTGTGCAGCCTATGCTCTAATCACCGCAGTCTGCAAACAAGAACCCGTGGAATCACCTTTCACGTGTAAGATATGACAATATTATGACTATAATTAGGGGATAGGTTAAATTACTTAGTGGGATGTATGTACATTTTACAAAGTCCTGCTACACCAGGATCAGTGGGGCTATGTGAGATAATAGTATTGCAAGATTGATGTTGACCCAGCCTCTTTAGAATATGTTGCTACCATTTCTTTACACAATTATTTAATGTTTCTTTTGGACACCTTTTTTATAACTCTTAGTGTGGTTGTCTTATTCTTAAAGTATACATTACATACATACATACATAAATAATGATAATTTCGGTGTGTATTTTTGTCCTTACCCTTAATGTTAAAGGAAAGAAGGGAGGACAATGTTGACAATAATTTATATATCTGGCTACCTTTCTCATGTTTTTAAGGTTTCCCAAAACCGGAGAGAGGAGGAGGCAGTGGGAAGTTGCCCTAAGAAGGGACGGTTTTGTTTCCTGTGGCAGGACACTGCTCTGCAGTGATCACTTCAGGAGTGAGGACTTTGACAGGACGGGGCAGACTGTCCGGCTTAAAGATGGTGTTGTGCCAACAGTATTCAATTTCCCAGCTCATCTTCAAAGGGTATGTGTATCATTGGCCAACAAGAATTCAAGGTGTATAAGATTGATATATAAATATGTGATTAAATGTCACACTTTAGTTTTTTCTTTCTGCAAGTTTAGGAATAAATATAATGTGTTGTGTATTACAGCACATTTTAAACACTCAAAATGTCTTTAATTATGTTTATATTAGCCGGAAGCAACAAGAAGCACAACCACTTCTAGAAGAGCAGAAGATTAACCTCAGCCTAATGTTGTGAGTATTCTGAATGTGGCCAAGACCAGAGAGATGGTCATTGATTTCAGGAGGGTGAGGACATCTCCTCTACCCCTGTGCATTCTGGGAGAAGATATGGCTGTTGTGGAGGGCTACAAATACCTGGGAATGCACTTAGACAATGGGCTGAACTGGAGGATCAAAACTGACGCTGTGCACAAGAAGGGGATGAGCAGACTCTATTTTCTGAGGAAGCTGAGGTGCACGTGTGCAGCAAGATGCTGGAGATCTTCTAGTCTGTTGTGGCCAGTGCACTCTTCTTTGCTGCGGTCTGCTGGGGGGGCAGCATCAGAGCCGGTGACACCAGCAGGATCAATAAACTGATCAGGAAAGCTGGGTCTGTCATCGGCATCAAGCTGGACCCCTTTGAAGCTGTGGTGGAGAGGAGGACACTGAACAGGCTGTTGTCCATCATGGATAACCCCACCCATCCTCTCCACCTGCAGCTGGACAGTCAACGGAGGTTGAACCAGACCCTTTCTTTTTAGACTAAAATGTTGGGTATCTCTTGGGTCCGTTTGGTGTTTTTTCTTTTCTGTTGCTTCAGCATATGAAACTTTGTATCTCTCTACCTCCTTTGCCTTTGACTATGTTTCCCACATATGTTTATGTTTGCTCAGTCTGTCTAATAAACCCATAAAATGGTTGTGAAAGACTACCAAAGCTGAGGCTGGACGATGATTGATTGTTGGTGTGCCATGTGTCACCGTGTGTCTTATTGGTTTTGTGTTATACTGTATTTTATTGTGTGCAGCTGGTCCTTATCTCCAAGACACATTTAAAACAAAATAACAACGGCCAGGTTGATTTATGTGGAGCGTAGTTCTCTGACTACGATTTCTCTTCGGTGTTCACAGGCGTGCATCGTGCACATTGCAGACTTCTTTCAAGTAAAACCTACAATCGCGTAAGGGAGACCACAGGCGAGAGACGAGTAAATTTCGCACGAGTGGCCAGGTCGCATACTAAAACAATTAGTCATAAGTAGACCTATTCGCTTTAGTCTGGTACAATATAAACCCTACACCAACTACTCAGTGTACTGGTGTCTAGTCCTAGTCTCCCCGTAACAAAAGTAGGGAGGTTAAAAATATTCAATAATAAAATTAGATTCACTAGTATCCGGACGGAGAAAACTTTAAGGTTTCACATTTATTGATGTGACCAGTCTATACATCAACATAAGCACAAAAATGTTGTCCATCCGGTGATAAAAGTCGGTTTTGTTTCTCGGATGAATCATCCTGGACAATATATAGACTTTAAGATAGTACTACCACAACTGAAAAAGACCAAGTAACAATAACTACACTGTAAAACTATAGATATTTTACAAGATAAGAATTAGTTGTAAATCTGTTATATACCAAATAATTCCTCAAAAATAATAATCTGTAGACTTACCAAAAATTAGATGTTTTCACCCCCACGAATCCTCGTAGCTCTTTATAAAGTTTCTCTCACGGAACCATTTTTTTTCCAACCCTTGGTGATTCGTGATTTTAGTAGTTTGGTTCGCGATCTCGTACCTGTTAGAACCGCTGGTGTCGCGTGCTTTTCTTTCCAATGCCTTCCACGGATCGAAGACACTCGAGAATAAGAACGCCATGCCTGCATCGGAGATCCACAGAGTGTCACGCGACAGATGATAAGTGGACTCCTGTCTAAGTCACGGGTACCGAGACTTAAGACGTGAATAGTAGTTGTAGTTTTTCCTGCAACATACGTGGTTCGTCATTCGCGTAGCAGGTCATTTACCACTTGCTCGTACACGATTCTCTGACTAACTGGTCAAGTGCATAGAACCGAGTTGTTAAGTCTTCACTGTACAGTTATCAAATTCCGCTATCAGGATAGCTGTGTCTGTGTGTTGCATAAATTTAGCTATAAACGGCCGAGATATATTAACTCGTATGTAAATAGGAGGCTCGTGTGATTTCTATGCGTAGATGGTTTACCAACGTATAGTGCAGACGATATACAAGGATCTATAGTTTGAGCGCGCAGTGCTTACAATCGATTTACGACAAGTGTTCGTCAACCAATTAAATCGTGTCGTGTATCGAGCTCTAGTCTACCGCCTGTGTTGGTTGCTTTTATCGTATACCGCGCATGATCATACAGCTATAAGGTGTGTGACTTCAGTTCCTTGGTATGCAGTTGTATTTACCACTGGAGCGTCTGTACGGTCATACAGCGTTACATATGTTAGTAAAGAACTGTAGTGCCTCGCGAGAAGGTATACGCCCTGCGAGTGACGACGCTAAGTCAAGCATATAAGGCATTTGTTTACTGTACTTCCGGAACCCTGTAATGCAATGCGTATTTGTCTCCTATCACCCGACTCTGGCAAGACATCAGCGCTGTCGTCGGCTTCCTACTATATGGCTGTCGGTCAGTGGCCTTCCAGATAACCACATGAACTAGTTTTTGACATAAGCGCACTGACATGACCGTGAGAGTGCAACTATATCGACTGAGATGACTTACGGACATGTGACATCGAACATTAACAAGCGTTGATTTTAACGGGGATACGGGACCATTCCACAGGAAACCCACAATACTTTCGCGTTGGGGGTTTTATTTACATAATAATAATTAATACTTCTTTTTGTTGGACCACAGCCACACCACCCTACATCCTTCGTCGTCCGTCCACCCCTCTCTACCCCGAANCCAGATATTCACCAAATTCCATCTATAACATTTTACAACCTGAAGAGTCAAACAAAGATACAACACACATATATTTCTGTTATAACAACAATACTTTTAATAAGATAGCCGTAACAGTAGGCCTAACAGTGTAATACTTGTTACCGACACACTAAGAGTATTTAAATAAATGCAACAAACTGTAATAAATAGAACAAGGTAGTGCAATTATAATAACAGCAGCACACATTTTAATAAACAAACAATTTAAATACAAATAAATGAATGGCTTTATATAGAATAAAACGAACTGTAACAAATAGAACAAGGTAGGATGTAGCGCGATTGAGCGCTATAACAATAACGGCAGCATACACTTCAATAAACAAACAATTTCTTTCCAGTCTTTCAAATAAACAAATAAATCACAATCAGGTTGCAAGCTTCATTTGACTAAGCCGTAAGCCTACCTACACTCTCTTCATGTTGTGTGCGAGGAAGATGAGTTAGTCCACATTCTCAGGTAAAAGTGAACTTCTGGTCTTGTTCACGATGTAGCCAGCCTTTGAGAAAATGCGCACTGACGGGGTTGAAGTGGCCGGAACGCAAAGGCAGTGCTTGGCCACAAATGCCAGTTTGGGATACCGGTCACTGTTGTGCTTCTACCATGCAAGTGGGCCAGACTGGATTTTAGTCGTGTCTCTTAAATATTGCTCCATCTCATTCTTTGCGCTGTCTCCATCGTGTTCTTTTTCCTCTTCATCATCAGACTCAGACTGCATCAGAATATCCTGCCGTTTCTTTTTTTTTGGGGTTGGCACGGCAGTCTCCTCTTCTCTATCGCTTGCTGCCGGCTCTCCTTCCACCTCCCGAACGGTCTGTCGCTGGTGTAGATGTTCAGCCAGGCGGACAACCTTAAAATCAAATAGCTTTTTATTATTCACGTGCACAAGATAAAGTAGTGTGGCATAATAATAGGTAGGCCAGTTTCTTGTCGCATATTTGGCACACTGCCTTCTTCTTATCGTCGTCCAATTTAAAATGGTCCCACATGACAAGATCTTTAAATGTCTTTTTATATAAATAAAATTATTAGCTTGTTGATTTAGGCCCATGAAACATGGCTGGGAAATATAATCGGAATGCATTATTTTTGCTTGACTAAATTATCGTAAGCAACTTTTTATGCCAACTTTTTTGTTGAACAAATATTTTTCAAACTATATAATTATATTTATAATGATTTATTTTGAAGGAGCATCATAGTGCATACGGTCAGAAATCAGGGCGTAAGTTCTAGGATCATGCTGGCATGTTACTCTCTCTCTTGGCGATTACGCACAACACACTAATGTTAAAACCAGAAAGCTGCTTTATGTTTTCCTTTGAGATAATTCTCACTAAATCTGGCATAGATATACTTAAATCCCTGCTGTAATCCCGGGGCTTCCTGTTGCTTCCGCCAGGTTTCACAGCGCCATCCTGTCCCTCGTTTAATAGTCCATTTAGCTTTCTTTCTGTCCATCTGCCTCCATTTTTCCTTTTGTCTTGCCACCTCTTTTTTTTACATTTTGTTAAGACTTATTTTGTTTGTTTTCTGTGTGTTGAGCCTCATTAGATATTCTGTTTGCATTCAACTTAAAAGAGACCCTATTAGGCTCTCTGGGGGCTCTCCCTTCCCTGTAGTGTGTTTTACAGGTTTTTATAAACCCCCCCTGCAAGAAACATCTCCATTGGACTCCCTTGTTTACTTCGGTAACGTAGTGACATCACCATGTAACCTACGCGCTTCTACTGGTTAGCGTTCCAACACATTGTATGTGATTTGCAAGGGAGGGACATCTTTAAGCAGTTAACCAATCACAACAGAGCTGGCCACCTAACCAATATGAGCAGACTGGGCTCTGGTTTCAGACAGAGGGTGAAAAGAGGTGCTTCAGCGCAGGCAGTATGTGAACAATAAAGACCTTTTTTTTACATTACATGTTACTTATTGGACGCTTTTATCCAAAGCGACTTACATACTCAATACTGTGGGCAATCCCCACAGGAGCAATTTGGGGTGAAGTGTCTTGCCCTGTGTGAGACTGACCGTTGAGCGGCCCAGACCAAGCAAGGAGGCAGAATGTCCAAAAATATAACCCGACGTGGGCATTTACTCAAATATGCGTACAAAGTTCACAGCCTCAATCATGTGACTGACTGACTGACTGACTGACACACACACACACACACACGTGAGGGGGAGCAATTAAACGGTTGAGGGGGGCGGAGACAACCCAGGGCCCCAGGTGCACACAA